ATGAGCAGCTCTAGAACTGTGTGGGTAATTCTAGAGGTGCACATTTACGACACGCTGATAAACCTTTGTGGGATGTTTTGAAGGCAAAACCATGGTTAACGCCACTGAATTAGAAAAGATCTTTGAAGAGACAAGAGTAGGAAAAGAAAGTATTATGTTAAAAGGTATGAACTGGTATGAAAAGGTGTGAGTCCTGGTGGACAGCAAGTTGACTATGAGCCAGCAATGTTCCCTTGTGGCCAAGAAGGCCAATGGTCTCCTGGGGTGCATTAGGCAGAGTGTTGCTAGCAGGTGGAGGGAGGTGATCCTCCCCCTCTACTCAGCCCTGTTGAGGCCAAATCTGGAGTACTATGTCCAATTCTGGGCTCCCCAGTACAAGAGAGACATGGCACTCCTGGAGAGAGTCCAGCGGAGGGCTACAAAGATGAGGAGGGGACTGGAGCATCTCTCCTATGAAGAGGGAGGGTGGGGAGAGGAGGAGGCCAGCCTCTTCTCCGTGGTGCCCAGCAACAGGACAAGAGGCAAAGGGCAGAAACTGAACCACAGGAAGTTCCGTCTGAACATGAGGAAAAACTCTTCTTCACTGTGAGGGTGACAGAGCGTTGGAACAGGTTGCCCAGAGAGGTAGTGGAGTCTCCTTCCCTGGAGATATTCAAAACCCACCTGACACGATCCTGTGCAATGTGCTCTAGAGGACCCTGCTTGAGCAGGTGGGTTGCACTAGATGATCTCCAGAGGTCCCTTCCAACCTTGGCCATTCTGTGATTCTGTGAGCTGTACTTAACTGTTCAGTATGTCTTCTTGCTATTCCTGATGCCGTGTACTTTTACAATTAAAATTAGAAAACATAACAGTATCGTGTTTGCATGATAACTTTTATATGTGAAGACAGAATTTATATGCAAAAAGAAGTTGCGTATTTTCTGAGTGAGAGAACTGATTTATGTGTGAATAGGCATGTTCATGATTGATCACGTGTGTGTGTGGAGTGATAGGACATGAAAATCACAAGTGATTTGGTTGTGCCCATGCTGGAACGTGGTACCCTTGAAAACTGTAGGCCAAACTGCTGGCAGAACTCCATGGAAATCTTTTGGGAAATTTGCAGTGGTTCTGCCAGTGGAGGCTCTGCTCTTTGATCCTTAAGGTTGTGCAGTGAACATTCTTCGGATTTAATAGCAGCGTTTCATACAGTTGATCCAAAACAGTCAGCTATCATCTGCTGTCCATACTTGGTACTCAACAGCCTGCACTGGGGTGGCTAACATGTCTCACCATAGTCTCGCATTTTTGGTGATAGATTTCCCAGGCTTTGTCTGCTCACGCGGTATTCGGAACCAGGTATGGAGGAGCAGCTATTCAGCTTATTCAGCGTCCTGAATAATCCATGAGCCAATGCTCTTCTTTGAAATTGAGGCTGTGTTGCTCCTGAGTGGGCTTTAGTATATTGCAGAGTTGGCTTCGGCTAAACAGAAAAAAAACTAGAAGCTTTCAGAAATAGCTCCTCTTCAGCAGTCCACCTTAAGGACAAGCCCTGTTCTTCCAGTCAAGACAGTGGAAGTGCTGCAGGGCTTGGTTTGGGGCTAAACGGTTTTTTATTTAGATTGATAGTCAGCTGATACCTTGATTATTTTTTCTGAAGACGTTTCTTCACAGTTTATGTTACTTAGTGGTTGTCTGAATGGCGACTTCAGAAACATTTTGTTTGGCAGTCAAACTAAACACGCTTTGTTAAAATAACCAAACAGGTACAGGAGGCTATTTGATGTTTTAAATTGTCAACAAATGATGTTGCCTATCCATTTTTAGCAAAAACTTTGCAAGTTTTCTGCTGCTTCAAAGTACAGATTCGGAGATCAGAGTTGGTTTGAGAATATTAAATATACTGGAGTACAAGTGCTCCTCTGAGAGTGCTGCAGTTTGCTTTGGGCAGGCATTGACTTGGCTTGCCAACAGCAGCAGAACCAATAGTTTGGACTTGCAGAAACACATTTCTCTTCTTCTGAGCTGCTGATAGTTCCAATTATTTCAATGAATACAAGAAACTGGCAAAGCTCTGCTTTGTTGTGGTATGATGGATTTCATCAGCACCTAGAAAAGCAGTTAATTTAAAAGCTCTCCAGGCCCTCTTCCAGCACAAGCCAATGGGTGTTTTTGAAAGATACTCTTTTTTCTGCGTGGTTCTGGACAGTTCACATAGCGTATCTTCTGTTTTAAAGGTGAAAAATACAAGAAGTCATCTTAAGTAATATTCATTAGACCTAATCTTCATTCCTGGCCGGACTGTGGTACCTTTGCACATGGCAGAGGAGCCGGCAGTTTCACGGGTCTGCGCGGGCTGTGGGAGAGTAGCTGCTGGACTCCAGCCCCGCACTGCCACAACTGTCACATCCCGCAGGCTGTCTCTGTACTCAAAAGACCTATAGTGTTTATATGACTTTTTGCAGCAAATGCAGGTATTTTAGTACGGTTACTTTGCAGCGGCCTCATTGCTTTTCGTCTCTTTGGGTTTGCAAGTTATTGAGGCTTAGGAAGCCTTCTTCTTTATTGTTCCCTCTCTCACTTTCACATGACTTTTTATTGAAGGCCTGGGCACTTCTTAAGCAGAGTGTTAGATTCAACATTCTTTTTAAATTAAATGTACTGGGGTGACCTAATCAGATGCTAGCTGGTTGACCACAGGAATGGGAACCATGATATTCTCTAATCTAGTTTAACGTTAATTCACTCTTTGACCTTAGGCAAGCTGCTTAGTTTCTGCAGAAGGGGGATAATAATTCCTTTGAAATGTTGACAGTAAAGTGAATAAATATGTAAGTTTTACTCCCTGTGGAACAGGCATTTTAATTTTAAAAGGAACTTTGGAGCATCCATTCTGTCAAATGACTTGGGAGTCATGGGATGCTGGATCGCTGAGGAGTTTACGTGCTTTGAATACAGAGCTCCGTCCCTCCGCTTTCTGTTATGTGTGAGGGTATTTTTCGGGGTGGGGAAGGGGGTTCATCGCTTGCCTCCAATGGCTGTGCCGTTTGCCATGTTAGGCCTCGTGGCATGTAGACACTAGACTGATGGAAATCTCATTTTCCCCTTCACAGAGAAATGTGGTAGTTAATTCCATCAGTGTTTTAAGTTTAGAAATATTACCTCTTTAGACTAAATAATGATATTAATGAACTCAGCTCCTTAGGGTTAAGTGCAGCAGTTACTTCATTTGCTGCCGGTGAATTTGCCTCTTACGCTTTGCCCGAAACTTCCAGTAAAGTCAGAAGTGGTCAACCTGCTGCTTAACAGCGCAGTGACCAAACACCTGGTGACAGCAGAGCAACCTTTTGAGTTTTTCATTTTTCAGTTGTGTTTTTTAGACTTTGAAGTGCCATTTATTTTTTATGTATATTGACACCTGGTATTTTTCAAGCCACCTTTTTATTTGGTGGGAATAGCATTAGCATGTATTAAAGGCAGAAAAGCCTGAGGAAACAGTTAGAAGTTATTCCCAGAATGTAAATAATTTCCTAAATTTTGAGCTGTAAAAGTCTGATGTATTTTAAATTGCTTTCCAGAGTGCACAATGAAGCTCAGCGTGGCATTTAACCAACAGTTTACAGAGGTGCTAGTTATTCCACTTGGCTATATTTAGGAGGTCAGGAAACAACAATGGCAAAAAAAATAGCTAAACATTCTTGCAAAAATTAAAGGAACAGTTTCAGCTATAAAACTGATGTCTACAGCAAAAAACCACAGCTGCTAAATGTTACCAAATCATAATAATTGTGACAGAGTTACATCCCAATCTTTCTTTAAGACATCTTCACCCATGTGAAGGCCTCTTGATTTAAACAGAGCCCTGCAGGAGCACAGGGGTTTGTATTAGAGGATCCTGGTAAAACTGGGCTGCTAGTGTAAATCAAGACTTATTTTTGCATTCCAAAGGGCAAAAAAGGTCATATGAGGGGATATATAAACAGGAATGAGATGTAAGACGGGAAAAGCAACCATTACACTGAGACCTCCACACCACTAAAGTCTCAGCTGGAAGCCTATGTCCAGTTTTCAGCAAAAAAAGAGGTTGACCAGTCTGAGAGGGAGTCCGAGGGACAGCAGTGAGAATGGCCTGGAGAACTTAACCTGCAAGGAAAATCAGAGCAAACCCGGCTTGTTTTGTCTGTAAAAGAGCGCAGAAGGCTGAAGGACAACGGGGTGAGTCTTCAACTAGGCAAGAACCAGCCGCAGAACAGAAAAGAAATGGGCCAAGAGCTGAAGGGTCACCGGTGGCGTGGGCACAGTGCATGGGCCACCTCCAGCTGGTTGGAAGGGCAGGGGAGAAGCCCCTGAGGTCACTTCTACTCCTTTTTTTTTTCAGGGATACCTGCTTAAGGAAACTTATGCAGATACTTAGTAAAGATGAGACAGTAGAATTAATGTAAGTAAGCAGACATAACTTGTCCCTCCTTTCTAGCAAATAAAGTAGGTAAAGTAACTTAGGCTCATATTGTGTAGTCTGCCTTATGAAGTGATGTAACTTTTACCAGCCTTTAAAATACTGATCGTGAATGAGTCAGTGTTTCTCAAGGGCTTTGGTCAGCTGTTCCAGTTTACTGGTCTGCAATCTCACTTTTACCAGCCAGTCTCCCTGAACTTCCCCTCATTTGTTTAAAACCTACTTTGCCATCATTGTACTGAGATGCTGTCATAATAGCAGGGTCGGGAAACCACTGTGATAGATGCTACGCAAATATTTGGAGAGACAGAGTACCGGCTTTTGCAGGTCTATGGGAAAATTGTTTTCCTAACACAGTAAGGTTCGTTAGGGCTGTGATTTCTTGTCGGGGCACATGTATAGTTGCAAACAGCCTAGCGTAAATGCAGTTTTATCCTCAAAAGGGTGTTTTTGCTGCAAGAAAGTGCTAGCGAGCGTATTGATGCTAGCTTCCTTCCTTGATGGCCACCCTCCCCCAGGAGAAACGCAGTTTGGGCCATGCGAGCTTGCCCGTGCAATTAAGCCGATGCAGTTACGCCGGGCGACTCCTCGCAGGGCAGACCTGGCTTCGGCCTTGGCTGCTGTAAACACAAGCTGCGTTACAGATCAGAGGGCGCCCGGTTGAGCAGCGGCATCAGCGTGGCCGGGCCGACACAGGCGCTCGTTGTTCGGCAGCGGAGGGCAACGCGCCGCGCTCGTCTCGACGCCCTCCGGCGCTGCCAGAAGCAGAGCCTGGGAATGACTGTGTTAAAGGGTGAGCTGACATTTAGCTCTCGGCTTTCTCGCCTAGGAGTCGTTACTATCCAACAGGAATTAATCAACGTGTGAAATGCCCCCATCGCTCCCCGCCTCGGGCAGGTAGGAAATGGTTTTATAACGCGGCCGCCCTCTTCCGCCCGGCCGCTCGCCCGCCCCCAGCCCCTCACCGTAAGCAGCTCGACAGAAGCGGTACGTCACCTCTAATTAGGTCCCTAGCCGCTTGCTGGACTGATTCGGTTGTAGTTTTTAGTAATACGAGGTTATTTTGTTAGCAGCTTTACTTTCCAAGTCTTTTCCCCTTCCAGCACCCCTAGGTACAGCTCTACTGGATCAGTTACCATCTGCTCCAGTGTTTGCATTTAGCCTGCAGGGCCTGTGATCTCAGAAATATTTCCTGTAAATGGAATCTCTCATGCCAGGCCTGTCACACAATAGATATATAATTGGATAAAACCTAAACTGAAAACAACAAACAAAAAGAAGAAAACGACATGTTGTGCCATACGCGGCGCGTGAGGCTGTCCAAAATGGGATGCGCTTCTTGTTTGTGTTTGAAGCTGCTCAAGTATATCTTTTTTACTCCCCTTTTCTGTTTAACCAAATAAAATTAATGCAATAACTAAATTCCGCGGTGCACTTTTTCCCTCACTTAATATCTGACTCGAGGAGTTTGCAGAGCACTAGCAGAGCAGCATATGGCCACAACAGACTCATTTGTTTCATTTTAAGTGTCGATCCTGGCCTTGGATCCTAGGTAGAGTCTGCATGGCATTTGCAGATCTTGCTCCCTCTGCTCATGCTGACCACGGGCAGCGTTTCTCATCTGATGGCAGGCAGCACGGTGTATATCCGGGGAGCACGGCTGGGCTCCTAGAGAAAACAGCCGGGTAGCCACAGGCAGCCCTTTCCTGGTCAGCAAAAGCAAGGGCGAGTGTGGCAAGTGATGTATCGCTGATTGGTACGAAGGAAAAAGAAACATGAAACGACCTTAAATCTTCTGAATCCAGACTGAAGGCCTCTGCGGGCTCTCCCCGGCCGTTTGTGGGGAGCAGGAGGTGGCCCTGAGCTGGGACGAGGCTTCTTGCCCAGTGGGCGGCAATACGGGTTTGCGTAAGAAGCCGTCCTGCAGCCACACCGAGTGCTGCCCTCTGTGACGGCCGGTGCTTCCCGCCTCCGTGAAGTGCCAGCCGTTTTGCAAGGAGATGGAGGTGATGCATAAAACATCCGATGTGATGAATCCAAGCCTAAACTGTAGAAAATATCTGATTAGCTAAATCAGAAATTGATCACTGTGATTTTCCCTTTGCTCATACTGGGAATTTTCTTGATCATCACTGCAGGAATGAGTTGCACGAGTGGCATCCATGTCGTTATTCCAGTAGTAATGAGCTTACAAATATATTTTCTGTTTTGTTGGAGGGACTGCAAATGCTATACACTAGTCATAGCATGCAAAAGCTACTCAGAAATGCACTGCAGAACATCGAAAAAGAAATTGAATTCAGCTTCGTTCAAACCCAGTAATTGGTTTTTATACTTAAAAAAAAAAATCCCCAACCAAAAGCTGCTCATCTGTCTCTGGAAGATAAAAAAAAAAAAAGCCCTGAGTTTGGATTTGAGTGCCCTCCCTTAAAGTAGTAACAGTAATCCTAATAAAGGGACTGATTTGTAAATTTTTCCCAACAGACTGTTCCACGATGTTATGCAAACTTAGGCTTATTTATGATAAATGTAGTCTAAAGCACTAGCTGTATAACCCTTGAATCCTTTTTAATTCCGACATAAAAGGATTACATTTTATCAGTATAGCTTATCTCCTAGCAGTCTGCCTTTTCCTTGCATCATTTTTTGAACCTTCAAAACATCCTTTTTCTTCTCTTTTTTCTTTTTCCTTTTTTACTGCATATTTTTATGTATAGTATACATTTACTACATACTACATATACATATAGTATACATTTACTACATATTTTTTATGTATAATATATTAGTATATTTTTTACTACAACAATTTCTAAATTAAGAATCAAATCCTAGTGCCATTGCAGCCAATGGGATATTTGATTGATTTCCCCAATGCCAGCATTTCATCCATAATGCTTACACTTAGGCCCATAAATTCACCATCGTAACAGCTGGCCTAATGTTTCACCAGCAGCTTCCATTTGCGTTTGACTTAACTATAGATCTAGTTCCTCAGAAAAAAAATCAGGTTCGATGCGGCTTAAAGAAGCAAACAAACAAAGCCAGAAGCAAGCAGAAATACATGCCAGTTCATAGAAAGTGAGCCTTAGTCTCTTTGTCTAGAAGATTAACACTTCCTCAGGAGTGCTGTAACAGGATTGTTCATTCCCCGTGGTACTTCAAAGACATGCGCTCCTCAAGATTTTTGCTGCGTAACTTGCAGTATCATTGGAAGCTTTGCTTTTGCTGTCCTTCCCGGTTTCTTTAAAACCTTTAATAAGGATCTGAGGGGAGTATCGTGTTGCTCCTCCTCCTTATTTTTAGCCCCCAGCCTTTTTCTCTCTTTCTATAAAAATTTTGATCCTTAAAGAAAAAAATGCAGTTGTACGATATTTGGAGATTTTTTAAATCTAAATAATATCAATCTTTTTCATGTTACTGCTTCAGCACTTTCATGTACTATGTTAGTGCATTTCATGCTGCGTAATAAAATGCATAAAGTACTTTTTAAATTCAAGGAGACCCACAACATATATTTTTGTTTGGCTGAAGAGCTCTCATTCTTTCTAGAGGAGGACACAGTATAAACTTCTGATTCCCCAGGCGCTTTATGCATAGTAACGAACGTAGCTCTCAGTGCTCACGTGTGGTCATGTAAGGTGCTATCTCCTTTTTCTGTACTTTCGTTCTCCAGTCTGGCTACTCTGGGCAGAGCCCAAACGGGTGCCTGCGGAGGGTGCTGGCTCTCGGGACTACATACAGCGAAGCACCGAGGTGCCCACGCCCCCGGCGTCTGCGGTTCTGGTGCCTCACACCCAGGGTTCAGCCCACGCTTGGGAGCAGGTAGCGTTTGGAGGGAGTCGCTGGGCTTAGGAAGAGGAATTTTTGTAAGCTTGCCTACTGCTTTGGTGCCCTCCCTCGAACTTAGTGGCTAACTCGATCGCCAGGGACCCGATCCCTCCCACCAGAACTGTGCATGCTTTTGTACCTTCAGCTGATCTTGGGTTAAAAACTGAAACAGTATCATGCTGGCAGGGAGGCCTGAGCTTGGTGTCCTACCTAACCACTGAATCGTGCTCCCACTTATTTTCTTGCCTTCCTGCAACCTGTGGCGCTTCGTGCCCCAGCTACCTGCCTGCTTGTGTAAGGGCAGCTTTGAAAAGTAAAGCTGTGGTGACCTAGCAAGTCCTTGCGCCTCCAGGGTGAGACAGGGCTGAGCTGGGTCCTCTGGGTCTCACTGTGGGCCTTACGGAGACCTGTTGCACTGGCGTCCTGCTTAAACACCTTGTTTGGATCTGACCGTAAGATGATTTGCTCATGCGGGAGCAGGTGGCAGAGCTGAGAGTCAAACCCAGATGCGTTGGAGTCTTTGGCCAGTTGGCTGAACCGTGGGATGAAATCTACCTTCGTATTTCCCCAGCAGATGTGAAGAAAAAACCCAGAAAGTCTCAGAGCATCTTGTTCTTTAGTTCTTGTTCTTTCTATAACAAATTTTACTCTCGTACTGATTCAACTGAATAGGATTAAACAGGGTATACCAATTGTGATTTACTTTTTCACTGTGAATTTACTGTCAACCTTGGTAATTCTATTGCCAGGATTTCTCATCTAGCATCTTGGTGTGTTAGTTAATACATTTAAATCTGCTTAAAAAGACTCTCGAGAGAGAGCGAATGGAGTCCCGCTTAACATTCCTTATTAGCTTGCTTAAGGGGAAAAAAACGGTTGTCCTTGACATACTGGCTTACAAAGGGAGTTGCGTTCTTACTCTGTGTACTTTACTAATTTGTAATCTTTCACTCTAACTAGCTTGTTTCCATGTTCTTGTGATTTGGTCATTTTAGTATCTACTTTGACTAATAATGCGGTGTAGCAATGCAATTTCGATGACCACAAATGAGCAAGCAAAAGTTGCAGACTAATTTGGGTAGTTGGATGTACCCAGACAGAAATTTCCAGTCTGCGAGACGTCGTTTTCACCTAACCTGCAGATAATCAGCAAACTCTGCAGAGTCTCCTGACCCCTCTGTTAGGCGCGTATCAGAAGCAATTACCAGTAAACATTAAATAAGTGATGGAAAGTACCCTTCGCTGGTACTTCTCACATTACTAAGCAGCGCACAACCGTTCCAGCTCCCGGTGAATAATCCAGAAGTTTCCCAGCGCTGCGCCGAGGCGGGAGGACTTGGCACTGGGAGCACATCCGGGGCTTTTTGCCTCAGTGGGGTGGGATGGGACTGGCCTGGCCAGCGGCCACCGGGCTGCCTGGCGGGTCCCAGCAGCAGGCGAGCGGTGGGGCTCAGCGGGGACCTCCGAGCCCCCGATGGCCTGTAGGGCGCCGCCGAGGGAGGAGGCGCGCGGGCGACGGATGTGCCGATGCATGGTCTGGGAAAGGGGAAAGGGGCTGCCGTTTGCCACGAATAACTCTCTCTCTTGGTGCCCCATGGGAAGGGCTGAGCTGGGTGCCTGCACGGCCTCGTGCGCCGGCCTCACCCGAGGCCGCGGCTCGTGACGATGTCCAGGTGTGACCGCGAGCGGAGCTGTTGCCTGCTCGGATCGAGGGAGAAAGCGTGGCATGGCGTTGACGTCTTCCTGTCGGGGTTGTGCTCCTGGCTCAGGGCCGTGCTGTGAGTCCTGCCTTTGCTCGCTATAAATTAATCACCATATTAAGTGCAAAGTCCAGAAATAAAAGGACATAACTACTTTCATTTGAAAGCAATGTCATCGTCTGTAGTTGTTTAAGTGGGGATTTTATCCTTTAGATTAGAAATACCACTTATCTCATCCTCCTGGTTATTTTCACTACCCTTCTAACTTGAAGATAAAATATTCCTTAATGGTTTTTTTATGTGTTTTATTTCTTTTTCCATGATGATCAGATCAGT